ACTCGGATTTATGGCGTAAACATTTGATTAATGATCTCTATTAGGGTTCAGTTATCAGATTGTGAAATTTCAATTGCCAAAAATACAAATATGTAAAGAAACAGACATTCGATCGAGTGGTTCGTACGTTTCAGCACACTGGCTTGAAGGAATAAAGCTAAAAGGAAAAGGGAAAGTTTCTGACATACAGTCAGTCATGTTCACTAGTTTGAACAACGGCAGTTGCTATCGGTACAATATGCTATCATTGCAACTTGATACTGTATAGAAAGCAGATTTATGATCGGTAGCTCTTTAACGGCATCAATTTACAGCAGCTGCTTAGCAATCTCGGCGTAGCGCAAGGTTCATTTCTTGTCCCACCACTTTTTACCAACACATGTACACCAGTAACTTTAGACTTGAGCTACCACGAATGTGCTTGAAGTATGCGGATGGCAGTGCCGTCGTTGCAGTCGTATAAGAGCGAAATGAAGTAACCGCACGACTGATCCAATTCACATCGGTTTATCCTTAACTTGAGCAAGTGTATGGACTCTGTCGTTATTGCTCGAAACACGAGGGACCATGACCTCGTCCACTTTGCTAGAGAAGAAACTAATTTACTACAAACGCCTGTCATCCGGGTTAGAAATATGAAGCACCTTGATGTGGTCGTTAATAACAAGTTAACATGGTCTGATCATATTGTTTACGTCATTGAAAAGGTGAAGAAAGCTGACACATTCTCCGCTTACGGTTGTTAGGAGCCCCATTTTGATTTACGCTGGCAATTTAGAAGTTGCTGTATAATGCTAACTAGCACTTATGCCTGTGCGGTCTACTTTGGAGCATTGACATGAGGTGATTTTGCGGTCTTGCTGCCATGTGTCACGATATTCGCGAGATCTGAAGGATGCTGGTGCGGTCTCCTCGCAAAGGCTATTCTGTAGATTGTTTATGACGGACTCTCCTTCGGTGAGCGGATAGTGCAGAGTGCTACCTACCTGATTCACAGTGATTTTAATAGTTAGTTTGCTGCTGTCAAAGTTCCGCTACACAAGGGAGTTTCATCGCCCAACAAACAAGATCAAACTACTTAATTCATACCCTCGTGAATTTTCCTGCATTAAATTTCTTCTCCGGATTCGCACGTACCAGCTGCACCTTCCTCTTGCCTGTAGTAGCTTGATCGGCCATTTAAGCAAACCAACAGCTTTAGGTCCAAGGGTATTTTAGGTCCTAAATAGCCACAAAACTGCAGTACACTTTGTTGGATGGAACAAACGCGTGTTCAAACACCAACAGATATAACTCTGTCCTCCGTAGGCATGTATAACAAAACTGAACCCTCTTATAGCAACATCGCAGCTATTTTACGAGTACCGGGCGACTGATTGGATTAAAAATGGAACAATCAGTGTAACCCACAAGTTACAGAATAAATTAGTATTGAAGATGCCTGCAAATAAAAGTAAAGTTAGTAGTTGAAGTAATCCATCAAAATTGCCTGCTTTTCTGGCAGGTGTGGCGAATATTCAGAAAATCTCCATCTGCCCTGTTAATAACGTATACAGTGAGAGGTTTGTTCATCTGGCTCTGTGGAAACTCTGCGAAGAAAAGGTCATTCTTACGGGCGATGCAACTTACGGCCACCGATCGATCAGTTTCATGAACAGTCATGGAAAAAACAAAGCATATCTGCAGATGTGAGTAAGGCGTAGCGTTTGACGGTGGACAATGGTCACTTGAACAGAGAAACAGATATCGGCAGCATCGCACAGGAACGAGAAAAAACCTTGCTTCTTCGCCGAGTTACGAGTACCATTTCGAAACAAAGGTACAGGTTTCAGCGTCTTTCTTTACCGCTTAAATATCCACCTGTGAGAAGCACATTCAAATGTAAGAACATCACTGGACCTGTGATTCGTTTCAGTACCGAGGAAAATGGATACTGTGCATAGATATTGTGAGTATCAGAGTATGTGAATATGAGAGTATCAGTCTTACCGAGTCCGTGAGAATACGTTCCATTTCTCGGAAGTTAGGAATATCAATTTTTTGCCAAGGGTCCCCCCAATTGTCTCCCCCCATCCTTAATCTCATTGAGGTAGAGGTCATCTAAGCAAACTAGCACTGCCGCCACTGTATCGTCTACAGAGGGAACAATCACAAAGATTCAACTTTGTCCAGCTGCTGTCAGGTTGATTTTGTTTTATGAACTTGGAACAGCGGCGTTTAAGATTTGCGATACTTTAACGCAGACTGAAGGGTCTTCGGTTAGTTACGATGCGTTCGAAGATTAATTGGTACGACAA